AAGCTGTGAACAATCTCAGTCTCTTCATCCATTCTGATGCTGCCAGTTGGCCAAGGGGTGAAAATCTTTGTCTTCTTGATAATGAGCCTCAATCCATATTGAAAGCTGCAGTTCTTTACCCTCAGCAGCAAGTGCTTCAGGTCCTCAAGCAGAGTTGTGTCATCTGCATAACGCAGATTGTTGATGAATCTGCCTCCAATCCTGATGTCACACTTCTCCTCTGAAAACCCAAAAGCCCAGCTTCCCTAGCTGTTCAAATCTAACAGTAGCTCCTTAGGAGAAATTTCCTTCTGCATGATTTATAGCCTTGGAAAAACCTGGAGGGTCAGCTATGAGACAGTTCCAGCTGAAGACAATGAGTTTGAGTTTTAAAAAACTTGGGATGGTTATCTCTAGGATTTAGAGATACCTGCCCTGTGAGATGTATGTCTTTCATAACTACCTAAAACATCAGAGAGCAGGGAGGCCAGAAAACTGAGAAGGAGAGGTAGCTTGGTGGAGTGAAGAATTTCATCCTGACCTTCAGAACCTAGTGTGTTTATTATTTTGTATGGAAAGAATTTAATCTATTTTCCTTGAATTTGAGGCAGAGTCCTTGTGAAAGAAGTGGGCAACAGAAAACTGGCTTTCTAATGCTGTAGGATATTCTAGATGTTGTTGTTGTTACGTGTCATTGAGTTGCCTGGGACTCATAGTGATCCTAGTAACTTTGAATCATGCCGTGTCTTGAGCCAGTCACACTGCCTCCAACACACCTAGCCCATTGCCTCAGTTACCGTGTCAATCCATCTCATCCAGAGTCTTCCTCTCCTGCACGGTCCCTCCACCCTTCCAAGCATGATGTCCTTCTCCAAGGACTGGTCCCTCCTGGATATGTGCCCAAAATATATGAGATGAAACTTCAAAATCCTTACTTCCAAGGAAAAACTTGGCTTCACCCTCACCAAGAGAGACGTGTTTCTCTTTCAGGCAATCCATTGTATGTTCAATACTCTTCACCAGAACCACAACTCAAACGTAGTGATTCTTTTCTGTCATCCTCAGTCATTGTCCAGCTCTCAGATGCTTTGCAAGTAATAGTGAAGACCATGGCCTTGATCAGGTGTACCTTAGTCTCTAT